GGGGTTTTTTAGATCAAAGGTGGTGACCTTACACAACTGCAGTGTATGGGCGGGTGGATTGCTTTATTTTGCGGTTTCATCTAGATCAAAGAATTTTGCGGTAGTGAATGATTTACAAGTATGTCGCGGCAGCAAGCAATCAGACGGGACTTTTTTCAAGACCAAACCTACAGCCACCAAAACATTTTTGATATTGGCATTGGCAGCCCCAAGCCTGAATACTGGAAACATCGTGGTAGGCCCTTCAACTTCAATTAATCTAGTTGTCAGACCGGCCCGGGGGTAGACTAACGTCAACTAAACCAATAACATCACCGTAGACCTTCATCTAAACCAGCACCAAGTTTAACGGCACAAACACGAATAAGTCATAATATTACTATATCAATGCCGAAGATTATAATGCGGTCAAAAATTCGTGGCGCATCTTATTGTCAACCCTAAACTATCGAACGTAGACTCTCCAGCTTTTGCACAATAACTTGTTCGTATCAATTTCTCTCAACAGATCAATATTTTTGTAAACATCTGTTAGTTGTAAGACCTATTTTAAAAGATTACATGCTACAAAGAAAATACAAGTGGGTGGTTTCTACAGTTAAATAAAAGGTTTACAGCTGGGGCAATATCGCATTTAAAAGCAATTCTGCCATGTTTTCTAATTTTTGCACTATCTTTATTGAACGCATGTTTTTCATTTGAGAACCTGTAGATCTAGTGTAAAAGATGTATTCACTGTAAAAATGAATTTCTTATAATAAGTTTGTCAGTAAAAAGTTTCATTGGTGAGCTGTGACTTTGGCCATACATGCGCGTATGCAAAATGTATGTGAGAAGCGTGAAGGGCTGTGAACAATCGCATTTTCTGCGTGAAGGAGATTTTTAGTATTTTCTATAAATTTATGAAGGTTTTTAAAAAAAATCTGGCCTCAATTGTTTTTGAAAAATATGATTAACCTAAGACGAATTTACACAAACTGCTGTGCCAAGTATGGGTGATATTGATCCTCCCGTTAAAGAGATATAATTTGAGGACAAGTTGCGTCACGAATTTTTGACCGCACTATAGAGGTGTCACTAGAGAGTAATACATGTATTCAAAGAAAAGAAGGAGGTGAGATGGGGTTGATAGACTTTTGATAGAAAAGGAGTAAACCACACCAGACCACTCGCCAGCCATCCACGTCAAAGGTCAGCGGTGTACGCTACGGTCGCATTTTCTACACCCTCACCGATCTCGTAGTCCGGCTAACCGTTGTGGCAAGAGTGACCAACACCGCAGATTCTGCAACCCGCTCCCTGGAACATTGTCCACTCCTCTCAGTTCTCAGCTTTCCCTAGTATGATGTTCTAGTCACAGCCAGTCCACTCTTTGATGTTGTCTTCCCATCGTTTCCTATCTCTCTCTCTCTCCCTCTCTCTCTCTCTCTCTCTGCCTCTTCGTTTCCTCTGTCTGCCTCTTCGTCCTCGGTCTGTCTCTTCGTCTCTCTCCCTGTGTTGAGGCGATCGCACTGCATGGAGATTAAAAGAAACAACAGACTATTTAAGTTTAGGTCTATGAATGAAACAAGCCTGAACACCTCAGTCCAATCTTTTAAAAATCAATCGCGATCGTATCATGTCCCATTGACGTAATTCAGATAATACTACTACTACTACTACTACTACTACTACTACTACTACTACTACTACTACTACTACTACTACTACTACTACTACTACTAGTGTGTGTGTG